TGGGATCTTGGGGCGATCCTCAGCTCGGTTAAGACCCGAAAGAGCCGGCTATATCATGTGTGTGTGTTTTGCTGGGTGCAGTAGACACAATAGAATCATGGTAGACCGATAGAAGTAGATTAGATGCAGCAAGGAGTCCAGGAGTTGTTGGAAAGGACACCTTCAAAAAAGGTTCGATTCTTCGACTTTTTGCCAAGCACACCGGCACCACCCTCCGCACTTGGCGCAGACATGGAGTTGGAGTACTACTCGTTGAAGCTCTCAGCCTGGATCCCCTGTGTCGTCCTGGAGAAGGTGCGGATGGATGGTTTGATGTGCCGTGCTTGGAAAGCCTAAGACAGGGCTTCTCTCAAGGGAAGGCGGAAAAAAAAGGCATTCCGAGGATTGCTACCCCAAATCTAACCTCAATTGGTTGGTAGGGTTGTTCCCAACCTGTTTTGCTTACCCCTTGGCTGATTTTCCATGATTTTTCCACCAAAGCCCCCACAGGAGATCGCGACGGGCAACATTGTCATCGATGCGCTGCCATATGCAGCTTGAATGTAGACACTGTCGGACACCAGCAAGAAGACGAGCAAACAACGAACAGTGCTCACAGTACACTTTCATCACGATTGTAATGCATCATGTTTTTGTGCGCGTGCCTTGTGCCATGTTGTTTGTTTTGCAATCACAAACGCCAGCTCTCATGTGAGTACGAGTTTGACCTTTTCATTGACATCAAAGTCAGCTTTCCAACATGTCCAAAGCCTGTAGTCCACCTGAAATGTCCTGATCTTGATAAATTGTATCACCGAAGTCTTTGGACCATGAAGTTCCGCATACATGACATGTGCACTCCGGGTGTATATACTTGTGCTGTATGCTGCTCATAAAGATTCATAAAGCATCATTACGCAACCTGATGTTGTTTTGGGCATGTTTTTGTGCAACTTTTGGGCTAGAACCGCATGTTGATTACAGCCGATAGGCTAGGTTTAAGTTAGTTTCTGTGAACGAAAGTTTAAGGTGTCCAGGGGGCATATGCAACTCCATGTGGCAGATTTTGCCAGCGTGCTGGTGCGTGTCTTTTTTGTAGAAGCAACTTTTAGTGAGTTTGAAAATGCAAACGGTGTAAGGCAAACGCGTTGCATAACCTGCATCATGAACGCCATTTGTTGCCCTAGAAACAGTTGTGAACGAATCTGGGTAGACCAAAATGAAAGACACACTGGCGCATCTCCGGACAATGTATCGCACGAGCTTCACACACCTGGTCAGCATGTCCATACATGGGAGTGTCGGAAGCAGAACCCTTCGTTTACCAAACGATGCAAGCGGTAGATTCTTCACTTGCTAGTGGCTCCTGTGACCACCCTTTGGAAAGACATAGCTGTAGCAACCTAGCTTTCCAAGCATCAATTGTTTTCACGGTCGTTGCCTTGATGTTGACAGTTTCATGGCCATGCTGGCTTTTGACGGTCTCCACTACTTTAGCCTTGAAGCTATCAATGTTTTTCTTGTTTGTCTCGATTCGGTTCTTCCTCCCATCTAGGAATATTGGGGCGTAAGATCGCCGCATGCAAAACCTGTCAAACCATGGCACATGAGACATATTTTTATCAGCTGGGTGCACTTACCACATTTACCAAGTGGGAAATGACATTCACCAGGTTGCGCCAGTAACATTTACCAAGTTCCCTGACATTTACCAATTGGGAACTAACATTTACCAACATTTACCCAGTGCGAGCTGATCAGATTTCGACACCTGCCCTTGTAACTCATACATGACATCACTTGGTTCAAGCGTCCCAGTTTCTCCTGCAACCCCATGGAGTGCGCATTCGACTGTAGAAGGCCTTACTCCTTCCAAGCCTTTGGCCAAGTGACCCCGCTGCAGAAATCTATGCTTCCCTCCTGGTCTTTACTGGGTGTCGTCCCCCCCCTTCTTGACAAATTCGATCCTTTCATCGAATCGATTGCCAACCGCTTTGAGGCCTGGATTACGCCGGCGCAGCAGGCGAGCTACCTGAGACGCTTGAACTACCTTTTTGTGGAAGTTTTCAGGGCGGAAGAATCCCTTTGACCAATGTACTCAGGTGGTTTGGCAAGGTCCCAGATCGATATATATAGTTATTTATATGTATATAATATATATATATATATATATTCAGCGTAGTTTGATGGGCACTCATCAGACTTACAATTGCCTTGAAAGCATAGAAAGTGTTCACTCTTAGACTTAATTGGACATGACATGCTTATCTAGACAGGGACGCTTCTGTTTTTTGTGGTTCTTTCCTAAGCGCTTGCGGGAAACTGCACCGGGCTGAGGAACTGTGGCACCTCAGAATCTACGAGCTTTGGACATACGAGATGCGTTGACTGCTCACAGTTTCTGGGAGCCCTGTGTTGGACATCGGAACGTGTCCATTCCGAGCAATGGCTGGACATAGGAAGCATTCATGCGATGTCGAATGCGATCATGTTTATGTGCTGGAGGACAACCTCATGATGATACTGATGGTATCATGATATCCATTAGGCCACACCGGCCACACCTGAAACCGACAGCAGACTGATACTGTATGTATGGGTGCAGTATTGACACAGTGACACAGCACACATTTTTGTGTGGGCAGGCTATTTGTGAAGTCCTGCCAGCACCCTGATCAGATGTAAGATGGGATTCCACTAACGACTTACGCTTGAAAACCCCAAAAAGACATGTCAGCAGCAACACGAGATGCTTTAGCCAGAGCAGGAGATACAGTACATAGGAGTGTTTGTGCCTGTAAGTTTGGCAAGCCGTCTGGCAGTTGTGTTATCCGATGAGTCCCATGTGTCTCGTCTCACCTGGGCTCAGCCCACCTTCCAGCCCACCCTCTCGGTGGTCTCAACAGCTGGTCCTCCTACGGTCCAAACATGTCCAAATGATGTCGGTCCATACCGAGCGAAGACTGCCCGAAATCTCCATCTCTCAGGAGTTCCATTGATTGGTGACAAGGTCGTGTACTTTTCTGCATCCCACAAGCGATGGATTCCAAGCATCATCACAGATGTCGGAGATGCTTGACTGAATTATAGAACATTTATTATGAACACTTTCTTTTGACCAATTCATCACTGGCGTCAATGCAGTCTTAAGTCCTTTCTGCAGCAGGTCGTGCATGTGGCCTAAGGACAAAGATGAAGTGGAGCTGGAGATCAAGCCAGGAGTTCTTTGGCTTGACTGTCGGATGTCGGATGCAGCCCCTGATCGCATCATGATGGCATGGGCCTGAACGTATCAACACTGACTTGCATGGGCTTCCGATTGCACAAAGGAACTGGCAAAATAGGGTGAGAAACACACATGAGCTACAGGACAAAAGCCGCGAATGACTCGTCATTTTGGAACTGTTGAACTCTTGTATACACTGGGCAGTCGGCTCAAGTCGGCAGTCGGCTCAAGGTCGAACGGTGAGGAATATGAGGAAGTTGCTTTCCGCTGAGCGGACTTGCAGAAGAAACAGCAAGACTTGTTTCCGACGTCGACATCGGTCTTCCGACCCTTCGAGGAACATCCGAGCTTCGAAACGTTCGGCTTGGGGAGTACTGGGGGCATGGTAAACCACTGTAATGGAATTGAACCAAAAATCATAGGGCAGGAGGTGAAACCGATTGAAAACTCAATGATGCCGTTTGAGGTTTGGATCAACCGAGAGGCGCAGAGGAAAGTCCTGCGCTGGTGTGCCAGCCAACTTTGAGCCAAGCAAGGCACGCTCAGGGCCAAAGAATTTAGAACAGGAATTAAAGGGTGCCCATTTCTCATGTGTCAGAATATGTGGGAACCTCATCATGCTGTACGGAATTGTACAGAGGAAGTGTCGGGAGATTTGTGGAGATGCATACACTCGTGTGGCGATGGTGGCATTTGCGTTGTCGCATCATGCTCGCTGTGAGTGCATCGTAGTGTCGATCACAGCTCGCCTCAATCCACCCAACTGTTCTGAACCGCAATTGAACATTTGTTTGCCATGGAGGACTTTGGCAACTGAAGTGAAATCGCCTGAATTGCGGATAGCACCTTCAGTTGATAGGGGACTCAGTATTTTTTTATCCAGGAGTTTGAGCTCTAGAGAGAAACCCAGCAGATTGTTGGACACTGAACAGGCACCTACTGTACCCTTCCACCGTATACCGTATACTAGTACTTTCTTGCTCCTAGTAGCGATGGCCTCCACCTAATAGCGTCGGGATCCTTGCTACTAGTAGCTTCTTGTTCCTAGTAGTAAGGCCAGGAGCTCCTGGTAGCGTCCTTGCTCCTAGTAGCGATGCCCTTTGCTACTAGTAGCTTCTTTGACTCCTGCGATCGAGAAAAGCCCCATGTTTTCGCATCGCCGCCCATTGCTTCACTTGGAGCGTATACGCTTGAAGTATTGGGCCAAGGATGAATCAAGTACGCGGCTACGGTGAACATATACTGACATATGCCATGTTTTGGGTGTCCTGATGCTTGGAAGAGAGGGTCACAATATTCTCCAAAAGCTCGCTGTCAGATTTCTTGGCCAAAACCATTCTCGGCTGGCTTGCACGCAAGCAACGAACCTGAAGTGGGGTGCAGCCAATCTGGTTTGTAGCAGACAGCACTGATTGAAGACGGCAGCTGTTTGAAAGGAGGGTCTTCAGCCTCTTTACCAAGATCCAGGTTCGTTGAAAGTTTTGCATCTTTTGCCATCAGCACACCACGTGCTCAGATAATGAACTGGCAGCAGCTGTTTGCTGCTGCTGTTTGCACACGCTTTGGACAGAGTCGAAAGCAAAAGTGAGCCATCCATCCACCTGCCAAAAGGAGTTGGGTGCCCAGTAGGCCCTGTAGGCCCTAGACGAGAATGGCCTCGAAAATTGGCGGGTCTTCAGAGCCCAATGAAGCCGGGTTCCGTCTATGTAAGTCTGTAAGAGCCAGCTAGTCCAAAGGGATGGCCCAAATGGAAGAAGTCGAATGGTTCAGTCACCCTCCAGCCCCTGCTCCCAAGGCTGATCCCACCAACTGCCTACTGTGGCGGATGGCTTTGCTTCGTCATGGCGATCGGAACCTTGGCATGGAGTTTTGGACTTTCAGACCTACCAGTTGTGGAGTTTCTTGTCAAGTGGCTGAGCAACTAGTTACTGTATGTTACTGTGGATCAATCCACTGAATGGGCAGGTAGGTTCATATAAAGAAATAACCTTATATCACAGGGAGAGCTGGTGGTTCATCAACCGCCCCCCGTTAAGGGATAGCCTACCAGGGTGCATGATCACGCTTGCTTGTTTGCAGTTTGTGTGTGTGTGTTGATCACACCATATCACACCCAGATCCATAAACCCGCTCTTTGATCAGGAGCCATAGGTGGGCTGACGTGTGTGTGGAACCCAAGGTCTCGGGTGGTGGGCTGGGGTTGGACTTGGATCATGCGATGATCATATATAAGTTGCAGGGGTTGCTTCAGGAAAGCGTAATAAAAAACCATTAATTGAAAAGGGATCACCAGGAACATGTGATTAGCAGAATGTCAGGACTGGAGTAATATGTGCCCTCGAGAAGGTTTGGGTCACAAATGTTATGAAATCACCTCCATCAATAACAGGCTTTGCGGGGACACCCTTTGTGAGCTTGCAAACCATCAGTTTTGGGATAGGTGTTTGTGTAGCATTTTATCACCCCTAAATAAAATTGTTGTTTTGAGATTCTGTCGATCTGGAAAGCAGCTGAAACCAAACTGCCAAAGGCATGACCGTTGGTGAAATTAGGAATCGAAAGGCGTGGTGGAAAGCCCATCAGGAGACAGATGGGACCGAACAAAGGCGTAACAGTCGCAGAATGTCCGAAAATGGCTTGAACCTGCATGTTGGATCAATTTCATGTCCAACGATGTCATGTCCACACTGTGACAATGTGATGTCGTGTCCACACGAAGAAGGGTGATTTTGTGGTTGATTTCGCTGCAGTGAACTGTAGTGAAACAGCGATTTTCACAGAAGACGGATGTTCGAAACTCCTCCATTCGCGCACCAGAGCTTTAGCAGCCCCATCTTGCTGACCGTGTTCGTGGACACAACACAAAGAAAAAGAAACTTAATTTGAGGTCTTCCTGAAACTTCACCAACTCTCCTTCGGCAAGTCAAAGGCAAAGCACTTGCGTAGCACGTACGATGACCGGTATTATATACACCCCACCCACGCAACCCCACAAAGACACATCACAGAGCACATGAATTCGAAAAGCAAAGCACTTGCATAGCAGTTGCGGCCAATAAAGTGGTGGACGTTCCTGGTGCGACAGGCGCTTTTACCAAAAACATGCACATTTGAACAAATGACCATATTTTTTCTTGAAAGGCGGCTAAAAGTGCAGGAAAAGGTTTAGCCAAATCAATAGGTAGTTACTTAATTCTGCCTTGACAGTCTTGTGATGCATTAGCCTGTTGGCAGATTTCAAGTCTCCACCTGATTGACAGTTGATACTTGCCTGACGGATTTCCCATCGCTGTGGATGCCATCCCACTGAACGATCCACAAGCCACCGGGCGGTGTATAAAATAGGAAGACTCCGAAAGAACACCCGGCAAGATCGAACATAGATTAAAGGCGGTTGCTGGGGCGGTCTCCTTTTTGTTCCATATGTGTACTGTACATATTATTTCAGTTATATATATATATGTTTTACTTATTTCATATGTATACTCCGATCTCAGGCGATTTGCGATTTTGCGGAGCTCTTTGGTTGCGTCACCTCTTTGGAGGACGGGCAAAACATGGCGACTTCATTTGCACCCTTTCTCAGAGATAGGGAAAGGCATTTAAAAAGACTCCCACCCCTAGACATGTCAAGGAGGGCAGCCCGGTGTTGAGGTTTCCAAGGAGAGTACGACTAAAGGCGAGCAAAAACGCGTTGCTCTTCGGAAGCTTCATGGGGAGAACGCACATTTGGAACTGCAGTGAGGACGACCTGATTGCTTTGCCACTTTATTAGAGATGTTCGTAATGTTTGGAAGAGCAACATGCATAACTGCATGAGTCGAAACAAACATGCTAGTGCTTACAAGAATGCTTCGAAGGAGAGAGACCCATAAATGATGTTCAACTCTTTGACTTGCTTCATGCAGGATTCGATCACAGCCATCACAATAGTCGCACTTGGCACGTGGGAAACTTGGCAGGGTTGAAACAAGTTGAACCATGCCCCACACGGGATCAATCAAGTGAGTTTAAAGCAGCCAACACTGTTTTAAAAAAAAAGGTTCACACTGTGTGACCCTGTCTTTGTGCTTCAAACAAGCCCCATGTGACAATGCAGGGCAAAAAAGAATGGCCTCCAACCTATGGCCTCCAACACAATAGCAGTATTGGACTAGAGAGACCTCCATATCCAGATATGAGTTGATGGTGCTAGAGACCGCGAAGCCGAGGTCCATGCCCGACCTTTTCGCATCACAAACAGCGGCCGTCTCTGACAAGTGCCCCGCTGTGGATGAGGGCACCAGTTTGGACGGACACGCCGAGCATATGTTGGAACATGTTGGAAAGGTGGAGAACTCATAGCGTAAGTATGGGCAGGTGATTATCAGGTGATTATGTAAGTTTTGACGAGAGAGATGCAACGCATTGGTTGCCCGCTCAAAGAAGTATTGGAGGGCGGGTGTGCTTGGGAGAGCACACACTAGCTCACAACTGGAAAACACTGTAAATACCGTGCAAAAATTCAAAAACTGCTCTGGGACCTAGGCAAAACGCATATTTTTCAACCTTCCTGTGCCCAGTCTGGCTGTGCAATGTCAATTACAACAATTAACAGCTCTTCGTTTGCTTACTATCAATGTGTAACACCAATGACGATTAGGTTAATCTTTCTTTGCGCGCAATGAATGTAGCATCATGAGTGAATATAAATATAACACTATATATATATATGTCAAGATGAACATGTATGTCAATGATATTGCTTTAGTCTCTTGCTTCTGTTTTTTCATGATGTATTTTTACGTGTCCATTTTGTAAAGAACATCTCCCAGGAGCACCCGTATTGTTAATTAACAGGGCCCCCCCTTCCCCCTCACTTTGAAATGGAATAAAGTTCATTCCAGATTCTAAGAAAGGAATTTAAGAAGTAAATGAAATGAATCTTTACTTATGACAAATTCCTGGAATTGAGATCAAAGAGACTTCTAAGAAAAGAATTTTATAATAAAAAGGAAATGAAAAGAATCTTTTTTTATTGACACAGAAAAGGAAATTCTAAGAAAGCTCTTTAATAAGGAAATGAAATGAATCTTTACTTAGATACTTAGAACAGGCAACAAACATGTTTAGCTGTATTTGGGGTGCACTTTATTTAGGGTATGGTGGCTTCAAGAAAGGAGTTTAATAAGGAAATGAAATGAATCTTTACTTAGAACAGAAAAGGAATTCTAAGAAAGGGGCTTAATAAGTGAAATTTTCAATGAGTTTTTACTTAGAACAGAAAGGGAATTCTAAGAAAGGAAGTTAAAAAGGAAATACAGTTAATCTTTACTTAGATTCTTAGAACAGGCAACAAACATGTTTAGCTTTACGTAGGGTGCACTTTATTTAGAGTATGGTGGCTTCATGAGGGGTAGCCTTTGCAGAGTCGTTTTGATCAAATTTCAATGGCTTTCAAAAAGGGATTTTATAAAGAATTTTCTACGCAGGACTTGCGTTTAGCGATACTGTCGGAAGCACAGTGGCGCCAGTACTTGGCAAAAGCCGTTGTACAAGCCCTGAAATCTATGCATCCGTGTCAGAAATGCAATATATAAAAAAAAGCTGTGCAACTTATCACGAATGTGTGCTGCGCGACAAAGTTTAAGAGAAAACCAAAAACCCAAAAAAACAAACCAAACACCAAAAAAAACATAAACACCAAAAAACAATGTTTGAGACAAAATGGAGGCAAACCCCAAAAAATGTATAAAAACATCCTACTCCTATAGTACCCCATTTTGTCTCAAACATTGTTTTTTGTTTTTAGTGTTTTTTGGGGGGTTGTTTGTTTTTTTAATCCTACTCCTATAGTACCCCATTTTGTCTCAAACATTGTCTTTTTTGGTTGTTTTTTTGTTTTTCCCCACCCGTAGGACTGTGGGGTTGTTAGATTTTTAGAACTTTGGACTTCAGTACGCCTGGTAGCCCAACTTACCTCTTCCACAGCACACTGGCCAAAGAGACCCCTGAGTAGCGCAACTTAGCTCTTCCACAGCACACTGGCCAAAGT